GGCCCCGCTGCAACATAAGACTTGTTCAAAACATGGATGAAATAAATTTTATTTTTCATTTGCTAACTCACTATTCCGTTTGTCATCCTATAAAGATTTGACTACTGCTGAAGGCAAGAATAAGTCCAAAGACGGAGTCACGCTCATAATTTGTTGCAATGAAATAGTAACTGGGCTAGGATATTGTAACAATGATAGGGAAAGCCCAAGCGCCAGCTTGCATATCCGGGCGGCAATGACCATTGCCATATTTTTAATCATAAGAAGGCACGGGTCAACGTTGCTGTGTTTACTCAACGGTTTGAAGAAGTTTATCGACCAATCGCTCGCCTCCGAATGATGATGCGCCGTATAAAAATGCACCTGGGAAAGACGATATAATGGTTACGATATTTTTTCCAGTATTACGCCGTGGAGACAGCGATTGAACATGAAAATTATCGCTTTACTGAAGCAGCGGTACAATGTCATGCTGATAAAGCCATTCTCTCCTATCATGATCTGATAAATGATCGAGAAAAATTATTTTGAAAAAGGTGAATTGAGACGAAGCGCAGCCAATGTGAACGACCCATTTGCTGATAATGCTGTCAAAGCATGGAGTTTTAGATCGGCGGAGCGAAGTATCATTTTGTGTCTCCGCCGATTTATGTGCGAAATTGGACAAGAAAGCATTTCGTGCATGTTTGGGATATTCGGACGAAGTGAAGAGCTGTCGAGTGTGAGACTCCAAATCTAAGTCTGAGAAATCGACTAATCGATATGTGATGGAGCAATTTCCATCATCGAGACGAAATCTCACCTTTGGGTTTGAATCCACCCAATTTTGAAGTGTATCAACAAGCGGTTATTGTAGATAATGGAAATCAATCTGAAACCGAGGAGGATGAAGTCGAATCAAGAAATGATGAGGTGCTTTTGGAGGGCTCAATTGATGCTAACAAAAAATTTGCAAGAAATTCTACCCACGACACTCAAGTTATTTGCCGATTCTCTCTCTTACAATCATCGAAACTGCTTGCTGCATAATAATATCCTTTGTCGATAACATATTCGTAAGCATTCCATCGATACCAAAAATTGTGATTTTGTTAGATTGCGAAATCCTGATTTGAGGTCAACTACTTGCAATAGGGTCTGCGCAATCTTTATGAGGTTTTTAAAGCTGTGCAAAAAAGTGAAAAAACATAATGTTGGCACACCAGGGATCAAATATCGGACTTTATCGATTGTGTAAGGTACACCCTGCGGAATCACATAATTCTCCAGTACACCTTTTTCAAGCTCTTTCTAGTGCTCCAAAGCCTAACCACGGCTACCTCACAGATGCACGTCGCAAGTAGCACTCCCGTTTTAAATTCATAGACGGCACCCAATCTCATCGTCATTCTTTATCGAGTACGAATCTTGTAAGCAATCCATGCGCTCTATAAGGTGAGTCACCTCTTATTCTAGCCAGCCTTCTACTTACATTTGATTCAAGCTATTGTGTTTTCCGCCTTCAATCAAGTTAGAAGCATAGACTCATTTTATTGTCTGGTGTACGGTAAGCCATACCGACATGATGTTCTTGACAACCCGACGTAACATTTGAGATATCATCATCCTGCTTTGTTGCACCGTTAATCCTTAATTACAATTGTCATTTTTTGAGTCGGCAATACCGAAATGACACTCAATAAACTTTGGACCCTGGTCGAAGTTAAGAAAAAGAAAATTTGTTATGATGTTCAATGATTAGACAAATTTGTCAATTTATACTCTATAGTTTGATAAAAGCAAAGGAATAGCTCAAAAAGAGAAGCTGGAAAAGGAAGTGACATGACAATGCGCCCATGCGTGACAAGTATCAACTGTAAATATTTAAGAAGATTAAAAGAAAACAAGCATCAGGTAAGCCTATTTATTTTGCTGGATGTGTACAAACCATGAGAGATGTTCCATCAGCATTCACGGATTAGTAGCGTTACAACACTTATTTCCGGATTGCTTGTAATGTTACAGTGATAAATCTCGGCACCTTCAGCAGTTAATTGGGACCCCATGATCAAGGGTTCAGGTCTGCTTTTTTTTAGGTCAACGATCATCGAGACGCACTCAATTAGGAAGAATAAAGCGGGCATCTGTCTTTCTTACTCTATTTGGTATCCCATAATTCACTGCTGGTCGAATCATAGAATGAGTAACAACTTTACTTTGAAACGGAATTTCACGGTTGTTCTACACGTTTCGCGTCCTTTTTATATGACGATTGAAATTTTTTGAAATTACAAACGGGTTGACGACTTTTTCTCAGCTTATCACTTTCCCACACGTAAGCAACCAGATGAACGGAAATTTGCCGATGAATGTAAACGATAGTAAGTGGGCAGTATGGCTGGCTGTAGCAACGGTGTGCTTCTTTCATTATAGCTACACCATTTTGCTGCTGCAGTTGGAATGGTGTATGGAGCGGGTACAATGTCTACGATGCAAGGTGGCGACCATACAGGTGGATTTTTGGACCAGCTGCAAGACGGGAACAATGACATGTTAGGAATGGATGCCACTAGTTTTAATCTTGATATTGCATCAAAGGCGCATAATCGAAATCGAGGCAATTACCGCTGTAGTAAGGTGCGAGAAGCAATTGGAGCATTCATGTTTGTGCAAAACGGAAGCTCATTGCTTGGGGTATCATTTGATACGTAGTGCGGAGAGCCGAAGAAAGGGCATGTGTGCCCGCTAGTACCGTCCAATTATAAGTGTACCCGATGCGGTCTTGCAAAGAAATCGTGCACTTGCTCTGGTGAGCATGTCATCGATTATGTACTTGTGTGGATTGTTGCTGACAATTTTTCGTGATATGGTGCAGCTCCAACAACGCGTTCAATTGGCGTGCAGGTTGAAATGGATCTCAATATGACCACACGAGTATTAGACTTCAGTGTGCAGGTACCGGAAGTTGTTTAGTGAAGTGGAAGCCGCGATTGACTTGATCCTTATCGATGTTGACAGGGTGTTATGGACTTTCATACAACAATCGAAGGCTACAACAATCCTCCAAATTGCTCGTAAAATGAAACTTTCAATCAAATCTATGTACAAGCGCTACAAATTGCCTATATTCGGCAATCTCTGAAGGTTAGAACATGCTCTGTCGATATGTATTCTACTTTGTGAATTAAAATACAAGGAGGACACTTTTGGTCGAAATAGTTAAAAGATGATTCACCTATCGCCTTTCTATAACATTAGTCGTTTATCATCCGCTACGCATTGGCAATTTGTATAACATCGTTCGGTATTCGGTACCCCTGGAGTTGGACGGCTGTGATTCTTGCACGTAATGGATTTGATTTAGTCACTTCATTTAGATACAATAACGTGACGCCTCCATGTAATTCAATCGCTCGAACAAGCACCGTTTTGAATAACACCGTTAATCGTGCGAGAATGCTGTTCATCGTGAGTACGAACGGCATGAAGTATGTCATTGCGAACTGCACCATTAAACCTATAATTATACGCTGTTAATAAGTACTTCATTGATTAGTGATCAAATGATGTCAAATGCACCTTTGTAAGCCTTCTGAGCTGCTCGGATTACCTCTGCTGAAGCATCAGCCGCTCTCACAAGCTTTCGCAGTACAGCATCAGTACTGACCTTGATTTCCAAAGCTAACAATTTCCATGAAATATGATGTGCCCCCTCGTCCAGCTTTAATTGCTTCAGGACATTTGCAGCCTCTGCAAAAACGGCAAAAAGAGCATCAAGTTTAATGTCGCGCAAGCAGCGCTTGACTTGTTGCAGATTTTGATAAAAGAAGGCGCGGCGGTGCTGACTATAATTCTTATACATGGTGCGCTGGAACATGCCAATTTCGTCGCCCAAGAGGCGTCTCATGGCTGCTGTAGACTGCGCGTCTAGAAGCAGCTTTTGGTGCACCTCCACCTCTGACACCATTGTTAGTAATAGTGCTCCAACGATTGTAAGAAAATAATTTTAGGTTTTTATACGTTAATTTTATTTAATTCAGATCTAAAACTCAGTACCTATGAAGTGGACAATTTCGAAAAATAAACATGTTTTGATTTTGATTAAATATATCGGCTTCTGCTGAGCATCTAAAAGCTGGACATTTGGATGGATCCATCAATATCAAGTCGCAATGACAAGCGTTTACTCAATTCGTGCCCGTTTCCAAGTCGGGTGATCCGTACAATCCATAAGCACGGATGCTTCGATACCGATCGTATCGCTTGCATTTGGGCTTACCGTGCCGCCCCATTCGTTGTTTGCCGCAAATAAATCGTCTTCGCGAGGCCGCTTCATCCGCAAGCTCCAGGACTGACGCTGCATTTCAATCTGCCGCGGGTGCGGTGGGAAGTGAAGGCCGTAATATGTCCCGCCACAGAGGATCTGCTGAACTTCCTTTTTGAAATCCTCTGGACTGCGATGAAGCTGGTCTGCGGCCGTGGAGTTTAAAGCGTAGTCGATGGCAGGCTCCAGAAAGATTAACTAAACAATTGATCAAATAGATGGAAGGAATACATGAGTGCGACAGAATCAATACCACAAATGTGCAGGTTCACGCGATGGTTACCTGTAATCCTAGCAGAACAGTGTTAATGCTAAGCACAGGACGCCAGTCCCTGCCAAGAATCGACATCATAACCTTGCCTGTAGCTATATCAATATTCGGATGCCACACTCTGCGCACGAGGAATTAAAATGACAAGAACAACCTTGTCATCAAAGTAGACAATCATACACGGCGAATAAATGCAGCCTACCTCGTAAGACATCTTACGCTAGGAGCTTCGTTTGTAAATGAAAAACACCAAATAGCATTTTTAGCATTCTTATACCCCTTGACTTGTTCAAACATTATATCTAGTATCTTACCGTGAAATGGGTACGTCTTGGGAATATCCACCAAGAAATTAAAGTCCCCGTTAGCAAACGGGCTTGTAAGATCAATGATAGAGATCGTAAAAATCAGTTGAAGCATATTGTTTGCTCCATCTGGGAATTCCACACGGGTTTTTGCCTGGGAGCACGTAAATTTTGCCTTGGCCAGCTACAAGTGAATACATATACGATTAATTTTGCTATTTTTTTTTCTTCTTCAGCAGCAAGATCGCACCTCATTAACATCCTTTCGCACACGCATAGCAGCAAAGTCCGAGCGCATGTACATGCTCATGTTTCAGTGCAAATAAAGAACAAGGCTCTGCCAGCGTCCAGACTCGCGACTCTTTATTCTGCTCGATGTCAAGCAGCTACTTGTTATACACACGTTCAATGGCACGGCTGGACTTGCGCACAGTTGTCTGCTATCTCCGTGGAGTCAGCGAGTTGCGCTCGCCTGCTTCAAAGGTAGCACTGTGTGTTATTGCATCTCTGGTAAGACGCATGGAGCAACTAAGATTGGTCAATAGCCTAAATGTTTTAGCCAATCAAGAGAAGGCTATGAAGCGAGGCCTTCAACTTCCGCTAAATGTTGCGATTCAATCGGTAGGTCAACACAGTGGTGATGGCGCCAAATGAGGGAGGTACGGCTCTCGTCGCTAAACGCAGCCGTCCACTGTTACATTATAAAGATTTGGGCCTAGTCTTGCAGAACCGTAAGGTTCGTCTGACGTGTGTACACATGTCCGAAAACTTTTTTGCGTGCGGGTACGTATCCATTCAATTGAGGATAAGAGTGATGGTCACGACTAATTGTAATTTGTTACTTGTGAAATACAGCGCTAACAATGGTAGCGTATATCTGTATGCGGTGTCGTCGCTGAGTCGCAACGAAGGTGACCGGATTCCCGCTAAATATCATCTGGTGAAGACGATCTCGCCGCCTAGCAACGACCGCGTGCCTGTCACATGTCTGAGCATTTGCCCGCTTCAAAAACGTCTTCTAGTGGGTACGGTGCGAGGCATCGTTTACGCGATTCATCTGTCAGACTACCACAAGATTGGCGAGAAAGTCGAGTTTTCGCATGACTTTCACGCAGGTTTTCCCATCACCTGCTTTTTATGGGACAAACGCGGCACAAGGCTTTTTTCGGCTTGTAACGCAGGTCGTGTTTGTCAGACAGTCTTGCGTGCTGGTGTGTCAGCCTTTTTTGGAAGCACCGACACTGAACTTCTACTCAAGGAAGAGTCGGGTATCGTACAGGTAGGACTTTAGGTAGACGATGATATAGCAAACGATATAGCTAATGTCCGTTGTGTTGCATGTTCAGTTGGATCTTGCAAAAAGCGAGCAATCGTATATTTTAATGGTGTCATCTCAATCAAGGGTTTTGCTACTTAATCTCACTTCTGGAGATGGAAGTGCTGTTCAGATTGGTACAAAGGCAAGGCAAGGATCGTATGGAGCATGTTTCTTTACAAGTCTGAATGCTGAATCGATTGACCCGGCGAAAAGGCGGGAAACCAAGGTGTTTTCATCGCGGCCTGGCCGACGTGTGTGGGTGGCAGACCCGCAATCGGGTCTCGTATCGTCAACCTTAAAGTTCTCGCTGGGGACAAATCCTACACAGTTTCTTCAAAGTCCTGACTGTGCTATGGAAGAAGGTATGCGCGTACTAATATATGCGACTTGTAAATGCAGCAATGATTTACGTAATTCATCCTTGGACAAAATGTTTGCAGGAATACGACCCCGAAATCTGTCCATCAACAAACTTGGTCTTTTCCGGTCTGTGCTAGAACCCCCCTACGCACCCCAAGACGTTAAAGAAGCGAATCCGTTGCTAGTGAGCTGGAATGTCGGATCAAGTGTGCTGTTCTTCCTTGATCCCTCTGCCGTCGAAATTATCGAGTGGCATCTAGATTTAGGCATTATTCACGACTTGCAGGTATAATTTGACTGTATAATTGCTGCTGGCTACGATTTTTATACTTTGATTATGTTGAAAGGTTGTCGACGATACTACTCTAGTCATCCTTCATGGTGATGCGCCCAAGGTGTCCATGATTGAGTCTTGCTCAGCAGGTCAGTTTCTTCAAATATATAGTGCTGGTGATGTTAATAAGGCTTGTGAGGTAAAAGCTTTGCATTTTTTGCATAAATTTCTAAGAAGCTGATATCACGGAATAATTTATTGCCTTCTTTAGCTTGCCATCCAGTTTAATATAAATGACGCCACTGTTTTAGAAGCACTCCAAATTCAATGGTTAGCTCATCTGGACGAAAATGCCTCTGTAGAGAATGAACAACTATCTTCTTCTTTAGAGGCACTAGTGCGCACGACTATGGCACTTAAAGCAGAGTATACGGCGGCAACTCAGTCATATTTATCGAATTTGACTGATTCGCAGCCACTGCAAATTGTTTTGAAACAGCGTCCACGGCAAGGAAGTCAGGTTTACTCCCAAAGTGATACATTTGCGGACCAAATTGACATTAAGGACACAGACGTGACACTGAGAAGTAGCAATCTGCACAAATCAGTTGAATACTATGATGTTTTGGCGTCTTCAGATCATACATACTCAAAGTTTATTTGTGCGCCCGATGGTTCTTTTGTGGAAGCTAAGCTAGTGGAAATACCAGAACTACCACGATCTGTGTCCGTGCTCGCCGATGACTCTCGAAATACTTACATGGAGGAAGTGCTGGATGAAGTTAAAAAATCTGAAATAACGCGGAACGAGGAAGGTGGAATGAACTTGAGCTTGCTGCCGGTCTTAAAAGGTGGTACTTCAGTCGCAGCGAAGGCGTTTTCAGCATTTATTCCACGTGGCAGCATGTTTACACACCTAATGGATGGGTCGATGATTCCTAATTCACTTGGTCACCCCAGCGCTTCTGGGATCTTTGGTGAATATCCTGAACTTGATGATGCCGATCTTGTGATCGATATGGACCCTCGACTATTGAAAAGAAGTTTTACTCCTGGCCAAAGGCTAACAACTGACACAAATGAATGTTCTGTACTTCGGATCGCAATGTCAACAATTGGAGAAGCAGACGAAAGCAATCTTGACACTGAAGTTTTAATGGAGGCAATATCTATGGATATCTGGGACTCAAAACTGAAGTATACATCAAATTTGCCAATCAAAGAACAGCTTAATCTCCTAGAGTGTGGCCAGGATAGCAATCGCAATGGCGCAGTTCACGCTCCCACTAACACGAGTGCAAACAATCAAGAATTGAAGGATGGTTCTGAACGAATGTCAACATTGCGGGATTCGAGTCCTTCTCAGATAAATAATTTAACACTGCAGATACCTGATTCTAAAGATTCCTCGTCTGAAACCAACACCTCTATGCACAAGCTCAAAAGTCGACTGATACATCGCGCATCAATGTCTCCGGATGCAAGACGTGCAGCGCAGCGTGCGATTCATAACCTTTTTGGGGCCGCTCCGGGCTGTGAAATTAAGCTAAAATGTATGGTGGGTGGTCGTATCGCGGTCTCGTCGGAGCTAGAGTCAAGCATCCGACGTGATGTCAGCGAGTTAGTTTCAGAGCTTCATGCTGCGACGACAACTGCCGAGAAAACAAAAGAACTTACGCGGAGACTATGGCCGGCATCTGGAATTACAAGAGTATGTGCATGCCTTTCCAGTATGTACTTATTGCAGGGTGACATGAATAAAGTACAGGCAACAATTAGTGCTTGGCTAAACTGTTTTGACCCCACGCAGCACGACTATCCTAAGAAAGGAGATGATGAACGTATTGACGATAGAAATATCTCCTACAAAAACTCACCTGGCTTTGCCCGCGGTGAGGCACTTATTGATGGCGATGGACTGCCGCTTACAAGAGGCGACTGGAATCTGGTGCGGACACTTGTGTCAATATTTTTTGCAATCTGGGCTGCAGGAACAAAGCTGCTTGTACATCCCTTGAATTGGCAAGATCACGGCGATGGAAAATGTTCGAGGATGTATGAAAGCGAGATGGGAGTAAAAATGACGCTGAAGCCCCGTTATATATGGACCAGTGATGATAGCGACTTTGGAATTGAAGTCGCTACCGCAGATGAAGCTAAAACATTTGTTGGCAAATACGGCGCCTATATAAATCCCGACCTTGCTGCTGAAGTCTGCAATCTTCGTCAATTTACAGGAGCACTTAGAATTGTGCTTGATAAAGTCGTCTCCAGCGCTGATATGGAGGAAGTGTGTGATTCCATTGTCAGCTGTATTTCAGAAAAGGATAGTGGAAAAGCCCTTTTGATGCTGAAAGAGTGTGACTCTCTTTGCCTCTTGCTACACTTGCTGGACATTTTTTTGAAGAGATGTCCTAAGGATACGATAGAGCTGTGCGTAAATAAGTATCCAGTGCTGTATCCTTGGAACATTGAACAAGCTCTATTTGGTGTTGAATTTAATTATGAGGCTGTCGAAAATGGTGTTCCTGAGATATTGAAGCCGGCAACAGTAGTTCAGACGTCAAAGTATTTTCGATACCTGTTGCGACTCCTCGAAACCAAAGGAGACGAAGCCGGCAAAGATGCACAAGTTGTCAGTAGGTGCTTGGATTTGTGTTTCGCTGGTAGTGGGGTGGTGGGCGAGGTGTTTGACAACGACGAAAGACCCAGCTGCACGACATGGGTTGCGACACTTGTTCGTCAACCGGATAAGTTTGTTTACGATCATAGTAAATGCTGGAACATGTTCGTAGATCACAAAGCGTTACTGGCTTTGATAGAATTGACGATGCTTTCGTTACAATCACACAATGACGCAGCATTACTACAACGTGGATTTGACGAATTGTCGATGCTAGTGACCCTTATTGTAAACAGCGAAGAGCTGGTCAATTTTATCGCAGTCTTCAAACGAGTAGCTGTTCTACCACACGTCTCAGAAGAGTGTTTTTCGAAAATCTTGAACCAGATTCAAGCATCTTTGTCAGTCAGTAATAACGAGCGTTTGTGTTCAGCAGTAATACACGCACTTTTGAATTCAGTAGATCTTGAATATGGCGTGCGCGTTCTCGCCCGATATCCGATGCTGGTTGATGCCACACCAATGCAAACGTACCACATGATTGTTGAGGCACAAGTCCTCACCAAGCGCCAGAAGCACGAAATGTTACGAATTCTAGAGATTGTGGACTCCAACGTCTGGGCATCATACAAGGAGAATGTATCAGCCAGGAGCTCCGTGTCGTTTGCTCCACAGCTTGCCGCCATTCTACAGCTTGAAATGGGTGAGATTCTACCTGCCATGAGTCGAGAACAATATGAGTTGTGGTCTGCGACGTGCGAGCATTATGATAAAGAGACAACAGCGCATCGTACGAAGAAGGCTGAGAGAACTGGAGTTGATGTTGGACTTTTCGAAAAACTAATGAGCTTTCACATTCCGAATTCGTTAAGTGGAGCTTCATTGGCTTGTCGATCTTTTGAATATCGAAACAGTGATTGGGGTGGAGAAGTGCAGTTGCATGATTCCACTTGCAGAACGTGCGAGCTTCCAGTAGTCATCATTAGTGACGGTGCGTTTTGCAATATGGTGATCCTAACATGATATTTTGGCTAACAGCACTCTGCGCACAGAAGACACTAATTTGGATGTGGTGCTACTCCCTTGTGGTCATGCTTATCACAAGTTCTGTTTGGAAGATAACTCGTGCCCAGCTTGTTTGGAGACCAACTTGAGCACCGTGTACTGCTTGACAAGAATAGAAGGACAGATCCCATGATGATTCCTTTCAGAAACACCCTTTGACGTGTATGTGTAGTATGTGTACTTCGAATCTTGAGGTGATGCAAATGACGTCGCTAGATATTTTTATTTGTATCTTAACTGAGCCTTCTATTTCACACTAATGCAGTGGACTTGTCTGAGGCGGAATCGAAGACATTTTTCCGCGCTTGCCGCGGTTCACTACGAGTGCCACTAATTTCTTTCTCATATGCCGGTCAATCACGCTTTCGTCATCTGTCAATGCTATGGCAGCTGCTCCTGTGTTGACCTCATCGGCAGACCTAACGTGAGATGCTTTGGGCTCTTCCGTGAGAAAAGGCATAAGAAAGGAGGATTGAGCCACACTTGAGCGGGTTGGGCGTACACGAACATTGGCAGGTGATGCAACAGTTGATGCCATTCGTAAAATAAAATGCTCTTCAGTTTCAAATGACGCAGGTGCGCGCACAGAGTTCTGGAGTACTTTCGCCGTGTCATCGGTGCTTAATACGCCATCAGCAAGTGTAGAACCTGATCCCATTCCGTTAGAATTTAGAGTGGTCTCGGAACGGTGCAGCTCACGCTCAGCCTTTTCGCGATTTACAATATCCACAACACGGTTAAGTTTTTGCTCCATAGAGTGCAATAAATCCTGCGTGGGCGTCTCACTTATTTGGCTTATCTCGTGTTGGTCATCACTTTCTAATGAGCCGTGAACCGTGCTAAGCTTCCGCAGGCACTTCAGAAGGCATGCACGAAATGCATCTGTTAGCACATCAGCACGATTACATTTGTCAGCCAATAAAGCAGCCTCCTTATCAGTCTCTTTCAGCCGATCTGATGCCTGATCCATTTCTTGGTAAATTGTACGCGAGTTGGCTGCTGCGCTACGAAAGCAACTCAGGGTCTCGTTAAGCTGCTTGTGACGATCTCGCAATTTAATCATGCGCGCGTTGGTGATCGCATGCTCCTCTTCAAGACACCGCAAATTTTCTTCCCGCCCCAAATATTTAGAAACAATTTGATCTGCGTCACTCGTGCCGGCAGCTTCAACAATCTGTCTCAGCTCAGCCTCCACGCTCACCAGCCTCTGATTGGTATCGAGAAGCTCGTCCTGTACCTCGGAAAATAGTGTCATTTGCTCGGACGATTCACGGCGTAGACGACGTTTTTCCTTCTGCTTGAGCTCACCCAAGGCTGCCTGCACATTGTTTTTCCTAGAAACTTCTCGCGCCTCCAAAATATCGGACTTCAAGCGAGTCTGCTCGACAGCTTGCTGGAGGTCGTCAAGCGCGCGAATGTTCGCCTGCTTTTTCTCCCACCAATTCGTATAAAGACGCTTATAGAAACTCTCGGCCGCTGATTTTTCGTGACGTGTTGCGAGCAACCCTGTCACTGCAACGGAGAGGTCTTGCCGCAAAGCATGCAATGTCTCTTCCTTCGCCAACATCACCTTTTTTGCGCCCAAAACTTCGTCTGTTAAGCGCTGAATCATGTGGTTATACACACCGCGGTCTTTTAACTCATCTTCTAACTTGGATTCGTATAGCTACCCAGACATACGTGCAACATCTAAGTTACAGTCTTTAAATGGTATCAGATGAATCAACTTTACCGCTGACTTGTTCTCGATGTTCGCCATGAGAAACTTGGTCTGTGAGTTGTCAGCCATACGCCCTTGAAGAATCATTGTCATATTTTTCACATCTTCTTCAAGTTTCTACATAGTAATGATCTGAGCCAATTCGATAGAAATCACCGCTCAATTATGCCACCTCACCTTAATTTTCTTCTCCTTGCGCCAATTTGCATTCTTGATTGCGTCGTATTCCTAGGAGATAACACATTCACGAATCAAACAATAACAACAAAAGGAAAGAGAAAAAGCAAATCTTTTGTAATCGTTTCGACTTACCCGACGCAAATGAGCAATCTCATCCACTTCTTTCTCCACAATATGCGTTTCATCCCCAACCGAGATACCAAGGGATGTAAGATACGGTTGCACCGATGGAGCCGATACCTTTCTGCCATACAAAAGTCCACATTTATTTCTTCAGAATGACCCACTTTTGATATCAACTATCATGCAATCATCATACATTTTGTTCAATCCTCGCCTTGGAGATACCATTTCATCTGTAGTCTTTTGAGCATCCGATCCCGCCGCCATAGTATCAGTCCCGTTATCAGACAACCATCTTTGTCGACCGCCAAAAGTGCCTCGTACTCTTTCCGTTTTAGCACCATCCTGTGAAGGAATCTGAATTGTCAACTCATCTTCCTCTCTCTCCATCATGCTACAAGATCACTGAAACTTCAACACTGGTAGTTTGATACTGTTTCACTTAAAATAACCAGCTACCCTGCAATTAAAAGCTATTTTCGCAATAATGTACCACACATCAATATTTTTTCAACTTTATGTAAAATTAGAAATTCAGACAATTTCGTCGTAAAGGAAGTACGGAATATGCTTACGCCTCGCGACTGCCAGTGTGGACATGCACATGGTGATGATCATGAGGATGATGGAAGTAATGCAGAAGATACTCAGGTACACATGGCATCTCGAATTAGCAGTCTCACTCTCTGGATTACCACATTTAATCAATGTTTTATCAGCAGACACCGTCATTAGCCTTTCAACTATGGCATCCTTTGCGGTTAATTGTGATGGTAATAACACAATTACTTTTTTGAACGCTATGAATTATTGATCACAACACATTTTATACAATGCAGAATCCGATGCCAGTTCTTATAGTGTTTATAATTGCCAATGCCGTGTTCGTAACAGTCGGAGGGCTCTTCCGTCTATTGACCCAGTTGCTAACCTTTCCTGGTCTACTTCTTGTACTTTTATTGGGTATTCTACTTGCCATTCGACGTGTAGCTTCGCTTATGACCTTTCCTGGTCAGCTTAAGCTTGTTATTCGAGAGGGAGAAGCTAATTTTGCTCGACTAACAAAACGCCGACTCCAAATTTTCATCGAAGCAGCAAATGAATTAGCAACCGTTTTAGACCCAACGACGGGCACTAAAGTTATGAGACTTCGCTTTTTGCAAGTTCATCAGAATTTTACATTTGCTTTCGAGACTTTAATGCTTCCAGTGATGCAGTCATTAGAAATTATGGACCGGAGTACGCAATTAGGCAAAAATGGTGCCAAGTTACTGCGAATTTTACGTGATCTTGACAAAATTAACGCCCAGGAAATGTCAACAGCATGTTCAAAATTGTGTGCTGCGTCGGACAAGACGTTTGAGGCGCAGTTGTCAGCAATTTTTCAAGATGAAAACAAGACGGAATCGACTCTAAAGACTCGTGAGCATTCACGAATGAATTTGTTTGGAAATTTGTCTAAACCAGCGCTCAAGAGGTCAACGACAGTCGATACAGCATCACGAGAGGCAGAAGCTGCTGCAAAGTTGAAACCTACAGAAGCGGCACATACGTTGGTGAGTTTTACAATGGCGTTACGCCGTCTTCAAAATGCTATGATGCTTATAGGAAGACCACAAAGTGATACGCCATCAACAAGAACTGTGACGTGGATCTTAAGGGAGTTATGCCGTGGCTCGAGTCCAGAATACGATTCAATTGCAACGCTTGAGATGCTTCGTGCAGACATGACAGTGCGCTTTGTACGTATTGGTCCATGCTTTTATAGTCAATATGCTAATTGATGTGAGTTCATGATACAGAAAGCTGAGCAGGTTTGGATTTCTGGCTACCAAAACCATCAAGTGGATGCAATGCTCATGCCACCTGCTACAGGTGGACGTGAAGCTATCAATCGTCCGGTGGTGATATTGTGCAACCCAAACGGTGGGTTGTACGAACTTCATCATCTCCAGATGGACTGGATCAAGTTCTACACGTCCGAGTTGAATTGTCACGTACTGGTGTACAATTACCGCGGTTACGGACGTTGTAAAGGCTCGCCGTGTCCTCGTCTGCACAATCTCGATGGACTTGCGATAGTTGAGTATCTCAAGAATGAACGTGGCCTCCAGCGTATTGCCGTCCACGGTGAATCGATTGGTGGTCTTGTAGCTACATATTTGGCTCGTCACTCTCCGCACGTGAATGTGCTGATTGCAGACCGAACATTCTCCACGTTACCGGCTCTTGCAGAGCGAATGATTGCGCGCTGGGCGGGAAATGCTGTCGAGTTGATCATGCGCTGGGAGACGGATAATGTGCAGAATTATGTTCATGCGACGTGTGCCAAGCTCTTGTGTTCAGATCCGGGTGATGATATTATCTTAGACGGGGCGTCACTTAAATCTGGGGTGGCGCTGCGTTTCGAGTTAAAGGATCAGACACTAACGCTGCCTCGACAACGAAAATCGGATGGCTCGCCCTCTTCCCTTTCACCCACTAGCACAATTCAAAAACTTCGATCGCGGTGTGGCGCTCGAAGTGCTCGTCGCGTGAGCGAAGCTGCATGTCTTCCACAACTTGGAGAACCACTGAATGAGACTATGACTGCTCGCTTCAGTGACGCAGTATTATCGATCGGCAGACGTGCATTCGCGTACACGATTCGACGCGATAAGAAACAGGCTGAAGGTGACGGCCAAAGTGTTGCAGACGCCACCAGGACTGCCCAGCAATCTACAACACCGAGTCACGTAGTCATTTCCTTGCAAGAGGTAGAAGGAGGGTCCGTAAATGAAGACGATCAAGAGCAGCATTCGATGCTATCAACGGAGCTGGATGATACCGTGACGTCAGCTTTTCCTGAAGAATTATTGGCCGTCATTTGGATGGTGCTTGCCCGTCTGGATGGATATTGTGGTCAAGTGCTACTTCAGGCTGCAGAGAACGGGGGTTATGATAAAATTCGCGCATGGACTGCGTCGTTATTGACATGGGGTGGCTACGTTGCTCCTGAACGTCGTAACGTACGCTCTATTGAGCCTTTCGATCGGAATGGTATTGTTATTGTGCCAATCATGGTAGCAGAAGCGCGTGGTATGTTGCTACAACTTGTGGAGCAATATCCACCACTGAAATTTGATTATGACATTAGCTTTGTGGTGATGATGATGGAATATTTGAAAGACGCATTGGAACAACGATGGCGTCAGATTGATAGCAACAATACTGAACTGAAACAGGTTTCAAATGTCTCGACGACAAAACAAGACAAGACAATTCCGCTAGTAATTAAGTCGGACAATCCAAATCTTGGGTGGTTATTGCCATTGCATTGTGGTCACAATAAAAATTACGATGATTTAGAGAAAGAGGCACTTACAGGCTTCTTGCGGCATGTGGGGTTTCTAGAATCGACGAAATAATACAATAATTGTGTAAATAAATATAGCAAACTCACTTAAATAGTATTCAGTATGCTAAGTATTTACTATTATTTATTTTCTGAAACGCGTATTAAAGAAAAAATTCTTGGCAAATTTAAGAATTAAGATTAGAGCAATCAGATGATTTGAGCGATCTTGGAAAGATTTCAGAGATTAGCTGATTTGAACGATCTTGAAAGATTTCAAGATGAGGTTCCTCTACTTCTTTTCAACTCTTGCCCTCGCAGGCATTGCGGCTAGACCATTGCTAAATACAGGTAATAATTACACCATTATCTCTTTCTTGCATCTCTCAGATGTTCTTTGATAGGTGAATGTAGTGTTCAAGCTCTTAATGGAGTTAATAGAATATCTGCTACATTTCGCTGCCAAGTCGCTGCTATTGGCGCCTATTTGTCCGAAAAGATGGAAACGATCAAACTTGTGCGAGCTCCTGATACTCATATGTTAGGTTGTATTGCTTATTCCGTTCACGATCATATGCATTTGAAAAATACTGGTATAATTGTACGTCGTGGTGAGTGCTCGTTTCAACAAAAATTAGCTCATGTAGCTGCTACGGGTGCTACTTTAATGATACTCATAAACTCAGATAATACTCTGATTTCTCTTAGTAGTCTAGAATACGAGAAAATGAACGCTGCTGCTCTGTCCATAGCGCATAACGATGGAGAGATGCTCGTTTCAATGATTACTGACCAAAATGACGTTGAACTGAAGGTTGAGAAAATGAGTTTTATGATGCAAGCACGTATAAGACTTCGGTATCTGATGGATATTAATGCTCCTGTTGTGTATGTCGGCGAATTTTACAATGTTATCGAGCATTTCGAGCCTGTTGTGGGGACTTTAGATGATCTATTGGCTTTGATAGCAGCAGAGGAATACAAATTTCGAAAAGCTTTTCAAAGCAATGTGTCATTGACGGAAGTGAGAGATTTCTTTTCGTCAAGTGCACAATATCTTTCAAAGTGGACATTTGCGAATGAAGCAACTCTTTATGCTACTATTGCAGCTGCAGTCCTCCAAATCCAGCTTTGGAATGAAAACTCAATACCTAGAAGTCACAGAAATCGTTCGCATTTGCTTACAGCAGCTCAATCGCTTATGGAATCTGGATATTATTCACATGGCGCTTCCCTGCTTCGACAATTCGTAAATCCTATAGAAACTCAAACTGATTTATCAGTGCTGTGTTTGTTTTTGTTCCTCAAGTTTCTGCAAGGAGACTTAATTACGGCATTCTCTGATGCATCACTTTGCAAGAATCTTAACATTGATCCTGGGATATCAAGTCTTCGAGTGGCACAAAATACATTTAATCGATTGATTCAATTGAAGAGATCAAATCATGACAAGATGTGCTTGAAATTCTTGACAAGACCTGATAATGATACAAATATAGCGCTAATATGCTGCGATGCGGAAGACCCAGCACGTGCTAACACTGGATTAATATCGCACCAATTTAGTAGTCCATTTACAAACGAACTTTTTCATTCATCCGTTTTAATGGGTGTTTTCTTGGATGAGTTGGGTTCGTTTCAACAATCATTGTCATTTTTTAAAATTGCCGCACGAATTTGTCAAATTCATGAAATTACGCTTGAGGCACGTATCCTTTGCATTTTTTGATCAGTTTTCAAGTCCGACATAACAAATTTGTATGTGTATGCAGCTTCGACAACTTCTAGCAATACCAATTGTGTTTTCTTCGCAAGCTAAAATGAACAACTTTTTCATGAATCTGCTAACTAAAGTACACACTTTCTCTCATAATCTTTTGCGAGAGCAAAATACAAGAGAAATGATGGTCTCATCAGTAGATGAAGATATTTTTCGAGTCATTAAGACGTACTCAAGGGTACGACCGGAATATGCTGCGTACCTAGATTACACGATTACACCTTCTACCATGTTCATCGGCTACCAGGTGCGTATTTGACGTATTCAATCAAAAGCATGAATATCGAATGGTCAATATTATTGTCTTTAACACAGGGTCAAGACGTTTTGCCCTTACAAAAGGCTATCTACAAACTACGTTCGATCGCTTATCCAAGTCTTTTGTCTTCATTCGATCCGCATAAGAACAATCTTGTAAGATCGGATTATGATCCTAAGCGGAGACGAGTTGCATTTATCTCTTCATGGTTTCGAAGTCATTCAGTTGGCAAATTATTGCTTGGCGTCATCCAAAATTTAGATCGAAGCAAGTTTCAAATTTTTATCTATCATTGCGTACACTTTCTATACGATGCGGACGACATGACAGCTGCATTTAATCGTGCGGCTGATATCTTTGAGAACTTACCTAGTCGTCAAGATGCAGCAGTACAACTGCTTCGTCAAGCACAACTTGATATTGTAATCTTTCCGGAATTGGGCATGGACGAATGGACAGTTTTGCTGTCGCATCATCGAGTGGCTCCTATTCAGTGCGTTTTCTGGGGACATCCAATTACAACCGGCAATCCGCACATCGACTACTTTATTTCATCAGAGCATTTTGTCTCCAGGAAATTTGACGATCCAATTGAGAAGACAACGAGCAACCAATTGTCAGAATACCGTCGAGCAGCTTTCTCAGAGCAGATTGTGCTATTTCGTGGCCTCGGCACGATCTTTACAAAGCCTAAATCACTTACATTAGAAGCAAATGCAATATCTCGGTCCCGGTTATTCTTACCCACAAATCGTCGACTTTATGTGTGTCCGCAGGTGAGTGCATCTCAAGAAATTTGTACGACTAGGTATCAGTATTCATATCTTTCACGCAGACACTGATGAAGCTTCATCCTGCGTTCGATGAAGCGTTGGACCGAATACTAAATCGCGATCACAAGGCAACGATTGTCTTAATAGCGTCCGAGACGCAATTTGTTTGGATGGAGCAGTTGCGCCGACGATTTCGACAGCGTTTTGGTCGGGTACGTTGAGATTGGACCTTGAAGAGTGTACGAAACTAATGCATGGTATTACATACAGAACCACCGGCGAGTATTGTTTCTACGTACATTACCATTTGACGACTATCAAGCGTTATTAACACATGCAGACGTTGTATTAGACCCGTTTCCATTTGGAGGTGGTGTCACAACGCTGGATGTATTGCATTTGGGCATGTAAGAATTTCTTGTTCATAGTAATGAGTAAATGGTGAGACTTACTTGCTGTGTTTGTGATTAGACCTGTGGTAACGCTACCAACTGCCCAAAGCATCGTCCATCTTGCTGCTGGGTTCTTACGCTACATGAATGCATCTGATTGTATTGCGCATTCACTAGATGAATACGTTCAGCTGGCTGTACACTTTGCAACGGATCATCAAGAGATTCGACAGAGGTTATTGCGCCATCGCAGTGACATTTATCAAGATGATAGCACTATTGAAGATTGGAACAAATTCTTAGCTACAGTTGCACCCAGGATCGTTTAATTAGGACTTCTTGAGCGTTGACGTGGCTAGAATTTGAAGCGATGTTGAGGTGTATAATTCATTGAACAAGTAGTTTTCCATGCATTTGATAGACAAACCCGCGCAGGCTAGAAATAAAATGTAAGCGGCGAAATTGCGAGACACCTTCAGAGATGTCTTACCTGATGACATAACCGAGTGAGGCCGCTTGTGCTAGGCGTCGACCCGGTTGAGATCAAAAGGTAGACAATATCTCTCGCTGCGTATGAGGCCTTGTATTCGGCGCTGCTTCGATGGAGAAACGGCCCAGCGGGTTAGCAGTCACCAGGTTAGGAGGCCGCGGGCTTGAATGGACATCACCGTGGGGTCCCTCTGAATATGAGATACATCCAAAGCTCATCTCGTGGAGCGTTCACACCGCCTACTCCGGCATGCCGCGTACATTCGAAATATTTGTCTACCCTCACAAAAAATAATAGTGAGCGGACTATGGCTTCAAAGCTTCAGTGGCCTGGGCGGATCTTATAGAAATACAACCAGTCGTCCATGGAATAACTTTGAAAGACACCGATACTGTATTTATCCAGCCTCGATTGAAGCTGTAGAATGCAGGGCGATGCTCGCAAGGCTCCGTTGGATAGAAGGTGGTAGAGGCTCTACGAGCGCGCATAGAACGGTGAACCTCAGCGATACCGAGTGATTTCTTGGCTGCCATGGTACCCACATATGTTTCATCTGTGAATACCCATACGTTGATATTTTACGTACTCCTTCTCTCTCGGTTGAGAGGTAAGGAAGACTAAGCTTCCACGCAAAGTTGGAGAGACATCGAGTACTTGGCAATAACTGATTTTTGTTTTAACTTGTGGCGGTGGAGGCCAGTTGGATCCAGTTGAAAAAGAGTGACCCTGCAAAGGGACGTAGGTTGTCTTCTCTTGGGCGAGTACTAAAGGTGTTGGCTTGTGAAATGGTGGCCTTTACTGCTGCGATCTCAAATATCCCAATTTTAGCCCCGTCAGATCTAGAGAAGCCACTTTGACCAGCGACATACAACCCACGTGTGCCACGTATTGAAGTTTTATCATCTTCAAAAATACCGAATTTTCGGTACTTATGAGTATTCCCAGTTGTGCAAATGCATTTTGTACATTTTTTTGTTTAGATTGTGACAAAATGTCTTAGGAAGAAGTACGCAAGATTACAAGAATTCGCCTCATGTCGCACGAATCCATATGCTTTGCATAAAAATGCAATGAGATTGCACATCATAATACGGCACATCATTAATAACTTACGTGTCAAAGTAAACCCTTTATTGCCAGTCATACACATGGCAAACTGTTATCCAGGGACGACTTAAGCTCGCTAGGTAGATATGATGGCGACCGTCTTTTGTCGCGACTAATTTGTTTAATTGATAATGATGTAGCTAGAGTGCGAAGCGAACACTTCCTAAGTCTATAGTTTGCTTCTCCTGTGCCTTATCCATTGTAATTTATAACATAACCTAATTGAAATAGACGAAGAAGCATCTTTGTATACCCAGGCAAGTCCAGAAGTAAAATGACATCTTCAAGAAGCAAAATATGTTGTAGAAAGGATGTATTTACTGATAGCTTACACATTGAGTAATAGGCTTGTTGTGCTAATTAGAATTCGTAAGACTTATGTTTCAAATCGCACTCTTCTGCAGTACCTGTGGCGTACACCTGAACCCAATAGTGCTTGTTGAAAGTCTCTTCGTTATACTTGTACGCTGTGCCCACCATAGTGTACTCGCCAAGAATATTATCGCGATTTGATCCCTTTAACCACCACTTTACAACGGCAGTTGCATTCGCATTGCCAGTATCGATATTTTCAGCCACACTTTGCCACTTGTACTTGGCTTCGGTGACACGCTGCTCGGGACTCGAATTATCTGTACCAGTGTTTGACATGTAATCTGACTTGCATTGGTCCTCAACGTGACGCTTGGCGGCAGCCTGCAGCTTTTTGTTTGTGCAGAGAGGTGGCAGTCCACGATGTTCGCGAACAATGTTAACAAGAGTAACCAGACTAGATTGTGGTGTGCTTAGGTCGATAAGATCATGAATCGTTTGGTGTTCAGCGGCGGCGGAGGTCGCGACAAGACCGAGTAGAAGAGGAAGGAGGGCGACCATGGTGTGATTTGAATAATGTGAGATGTAAATGATGTCGTTTGGAGATTGGGATTACAAATCGACGGCGAACAGAATTACTCTTCTGGCTTCATTATCTCGTATGCTACAAACCTAACCAACTGCTGTTATAAGAACTCCCAGCCGTCATTGACTCTCGGTGAGAATATTTCCAGAGTCTCCTGGATGAATAATAACTAAATTAGTCAAGCCAACGTTATCTGTAGCTTATGCGCTCATAGTGCACCCTCAGCTTAATGTGTTCTTTTCTAGCGCCATGATATGGATGGAAATGTATCTATAGCACGCGTGTGCACTAATGTTCCTCGCATTTACCATAGGAACAGACAATCTCCTGAAGTGCATGTGGTCACGCACGCCAAGAGTACAATGCCCACAACTAGTAGTAGTAGGGAGGTCAAGTCTTCCAACGATCTACAAAAGCGCGTTTAGCCATTGCCAGTCATTTCCTCGCCTTTTCTTGGTTAGTAACGTCGTAATGCAAGTTTGCAATTCAAGAAAGGGAAGAGAGTGATTTCTATGCTGTTTCGATGCACGCAGTAAAGATAATGGTACCTCACAAGTTAATGGGTCAAAGTAAACATCACCAAGATGGAGCTAGTAGGGTATTCGCTTCCAAGGAAACATGTGAAATCAACCAGAGAAAGTCTATTTACCAGCCCACTTTTGCGATTCAATGTCGTTGCTATATTAACGTTGCCCAACCTAGCATTTCTAAGGCACGCTCCAATACGGTAATCCAAATTGAAAGCTAGTTATATTCGGCATCTTCTTTAAGGAATCTGAGACTCAAAAGCATGAGCTTAATTAGCCTTACAATGAGCACCTTCGTATTGTTGCAAAATTTTTGCAATCTTCTCATTCGAGAAGCTATGACTTCCAAGTGTGTCACCCGAAATGTAATAACGCTGAGCATTAAGCCACCCCGTGTAATGCAATACTTCACAGCGTGCCTACCATTACACGTTGATTAAGTGAACTGCTATCTTTTGCTCTAGATTCAAATTTCGGTCTAATCTGTAGCATCTAAAGTTATAAAAGTCGACAAGTTGACTTTTTTGTAATCAATAGTGCTCTTCTCAGCTTCTCTCAATCCCGATCCTGCAAGCACCCGCAGCTTTGAGCCTGTCTTTCTCACTACAGTGCTTTCGCATACTCCCAGCGATGCTAGCACTTCAAATAATTTTGAGTCCAAACAATAGTAGCATTATTTTGCATTAATCACGTTTACCTTTAGCATTACATTTTAGACTTGAAAAGACCAAACCAGCTATCAGAGTGCTAATGACTTGATCACGTCACCTATCACCTTCCTCACATCTACATGTGTCTAATTTATGTTTCAATGGCGGCCCATCTTTCCAATCAATTCATGTGATTCTTAATAACCTGAAAATTTCACAAAAATAGCTGTAGCAGTGCGCTCAATCGGCAGAGTCAGCAAGTGCTCATACCCTACATTTGATCACTTGAACATTCACTGGATAATGGGAACATCGAATGCATAATTCTTCCATACTTTCTATTCCGAGCTGAGGTGTGCGCACTAACATCTTAAGGACTTCTTCAAAGGATTGTGTTTCATAACAAATCTCAACAAAAAGCTCAATATTTAAGCTGAGCTCCAGATTCAGTCGCGTGAGCACAGTCTTTACAGACAACCTGTGGTATAGTCAACTGTACATGGACACGATGGGTGGCAATGGCCCCGTCTCTCTGATTCAATCTCACTCAATACTCTACGTGTATCCTATACATTCACACTTCATTAAGTACATGTATGCTACGACAACACCCAGTGATAGACGGATCATCGCAAATCGCTTTAAAACCATCGGTAATCACCAGGTTTTTCGCTTGTAATATCGAGCTAATCGCTACATGCAACTTTTATTCCATGGTAGAGCTATTTTGCTTAGTCCATGCTAATCCATTTACGATCAAGTCTCGAAAGATATAAACTACAACGTGTTAAGCGCTTTCTATCGGTCATGACTCAGTTTGTAAGTTACGGGGTGACAGGAAGAACCACGAAACATAAAATTTCGAAAAGAAAGAGGAGACCAAATTAAAATCACAGTAATTATTAGTCTACAATCGAATTGACCAATCAAATTGTGCCATAGACAACATATATTATATTTCTGTGTAACACCAATCAAAATGTTGCACGTATTTTAATTTATTTTACCATCGTGACCAAATAGATTCGTTGTTCCTTATATCTCCCTATTATTACCATTCGCCATGGAACTTAAGGATCTGGCTCCGCTGCTGCTCCAAAAGGAACGTGCTAACGGCGATATCAATCCCGCCGTACTTACTCACAGTATACGTGGTGACAAGTTTACCAACAATCGTCGCAAACAGCTCGTTGCTATGATCGAGCACCATCCAGTGCTTTCAGATCGAGATATGATGTTTCGTAACCACACAGAACGGTATATCTTTGGTTTAAAGAAGGCGTATCATTTCGTTCAATTCCTTCAAGAGCATCAAATTACGGACAAAAAGGAGCAAAGTATTGTGTACGCCGCACTTGGTGAACCTTTGTGCATTGATGTCCATGTATCCATGTTTATTCCGACGCTAGAAAACCAAGGAACTGACGAACAACGTGCCAAATGGTTACCCCTTGCAAAAAGCTTTAAGATTTTCGGTGCGTATGCGCAGACAGAATTGGGCCATGGATCAAATGTGCAGGGTCTAGAAACTGTCGCGACATATGATAAAGCCACTCATGAATTCATCATTAATTCTCCAACTCTTACAAGTCAAAAGTGGTGGCCTGGAGGCTTAGGAAAGACAGCAACTCATGCAATTGTCCATGCAAGGCTTTATCTCGATGGAACAGACGTGGGTATTCAAGCATTTTTGGTCCAAATTCGGTCACTAAAAGATCACCAGCCTTTATCAGGGATTACAATTGGGGATATTGGTCCAAAAGTTGGATTTAATGCTATTGATAATGGATATTGTTCATTCCAGCAAACGAGAATTCCTCGTGAAAACATGTTGATGCGATATGCCAAAGTACTGCCAAATGGATCGTTTGTCAAGCCACAGAGTGATAAACTTGTATACTTGACCATGGTGCATGTCCGAACAAATTTGATTGAGAACTTTGCAGTTATGATGGCTAAAGCTGTAACAATCACGACTAGATTTAGTGCCGCTCGTGTTCAGGGACGTAAGCCACAAAGTAAGGGTGAATATCAAGTCTTGGAATATCAAAATCAGCAACAAAAGTTGTTTCCGTTCATTGCAATAGCATACGCTGCCAAGTTTGCAGCACGTCATATGATCACACGACATAATGACGCAGTCGAGTTGGTTAAGAGTGGAGATGCAGCTTTTAGTCAAAAATTAGCAACACTACATGCCGTTTCGTCGGGATTGAAAGCGTGGCTTGCTGAAACAGTCAGTGATGGTATTGAATCGTGTCGTCGCTTGTGTGGAGGCCATGGCTTCTTACAGTCCAGCAATCTAGCACATATGTTTGCTGAAACCGTAGGCGCTAACACATTTGAAGGGACATTTGATGTGTTGGTACAACAACATGCGCAGTATCTGTTAAAGGTCTTGGCTCGAGTCAAGACGCTTGATCAAAGCGAACCTACAACCCAATTTCTTGTCAGAATAAAAAAATATTGCGATCCGAAGCTACGCTTTTCGGGTCAAACGCGTGAAAGTTTCGACAATTTCAATCTACTTGTCGAGGCTTTTGAGGTCCGTGCTACACGCCTTTTAGTCCAGTTGGCTAATCAATTAAAAGCTGCAAACAACAATAGCAACGCTTGCATGGTGCAGATGTCACGCGTCTCGATCGCACACACGGAATTGATGCTACTTGAAGCATTGATTCACGGTGTCAATACACTACCTCCTGGTCCTGAACAGCAGTCGGTAGGTCACTTGTGCACGCTGCTTGGTCTGTGGCTCATCACAAAGTCACTTGGAGAATTTCGTCATCACGACTACTTTTCCTCTTACCAAGTTGATCTCATTCACGAACAGATCTTGCATCTTCTTCCAATCATCCGAAGAAATTGTGTGCTGCTCACGGATGCTTGGGACTTTAGTGATTTTGAACTTAGCTCGACTATTGGTCGCTATGATGGTGACATCTATCGCGCGCTAGTCCAACGTGCTGCTGATGAGCCGCTAAACAAGACGTCAGTTCCTGAGGGGTACGACAAGTATTTGAAACCTCTGATCCAGTCGAATTTGTAGGTTTCAAAAATGTCCAGCAACGGTTTTGGATACACGATCAGGTAATGCTCTTGCTATATTTTCAGATCGCTACCTCTCCATTTAAGGTAACAAGATGAAGAGTAGAATCATGGGCGTCATATTGTCTGCAGATGGTTGGATCGATGCTTTCCAAATACCGAAAATTATGAATTTGATATTGTACATTAAAATTTATCTAGCAAGAATGTCTAGCTATGATCATTGCACTCTCAAGCGTTGAATATACCAAACGACGCTTTCTGTTAAGTTAATACCTCGAACACAGTAGCACGTCAAGGAGAGAGGCCTAGTCGGTTACATACTTAAGAGGGTCAGCTAACTGTGACCTTCGGTTCAATTGATATATTCCATCGTGTGAGTATTTCAATAAACTGATTGTTAAGTGTTGTATCACACGGTTACTTTTTGTCGACTTTCCCGTCTGTTGCAGCGCCTGGCGTCAAGTCAGCAGCTTATCAGTTCCAACTTCGTATGCATTGAAAGAAGCGTTACTCTTTGAATATGCGTTAATACCAGGTTACAAGAAGTTCAGTAGTAGTCAAATGAACACATTTGTTGACGCTAAGACAAACGAGTGATCCCATTATCAATTCAACCATCTTCTACATCATTTCCAAAAAGCAATGGTAGCCATCACTCACTATGCCTTCGTTCTTGTGCTCGGTCTTGCCACTGTCTCAAATGCTTCAAATCTCCGCCAACTAAGCAATACGATTGATATGAATGAAATACTAATCAAGAAATCCAGCAATCTGCTAGCTCAAGTGAATCAGATGCGCGCTGAGCACGGTCTACAATCTCTTTGCTCCAATAAGAAGCTACAAGTTGCAGCAGAGCGTCATGTGATTGACCAGTCGAAGTCCGATTTCATGTCTGACATTGGCACCGACAACTCCGATCCAGAGCAGCGTGTCACTGCTATTGAATTTAACTTGCAAAGTGTGGCTGAGAATATTGATGCCGGTAGTGACAACGCTAGTGCTGTGGCAGATTGGTGGATGAAAGGATCGAATCGTGATGTTATCCTTGGTGAATTCACTATGGTCGGTACGGCGTATATGTTCAACGAAGACACATACAACAAGCATTATTGGGTACAGGTATACGCCACGGGCAGCTCAGAACAGTGCGATTAGGAGCATTCAGCCTCTTTTTTCAGAACTTGTCACGTCAATTGTACACGGACGAAAACCATATTGGTTTAAGATGTCAATCATGTTTTTTTGCTACCCATACATACACATCCTATCGTCAGATTTTTTTGATACGATAACTTGTTAATAAATTTATCATATTCAGCACCTTATTTGTCTAATTTCCTGTTCGAATCCATTTGGAAGCATTGCAAAATATTTATGTATATTTGAATGAAGCTCGTTAGCACCATCAAGAGACTGGCGCGCATCATGTGCGAAGTTTAGCAAAGAGTAATGTAGGATTATACTCAAATGGATGAGTAATGAGGAATCTCGTCAAAATTCAAAAATGAGATATGTGTTAGGAAATGGCGATTTTAATTCGCAAGTGGAATCTCAGGCACTCAAGATAGTGAGAATTGTCCATTCTAAAGCTATCGGTCAGTAAGCACTGATCGACGCACTCATCGTGCGGAGCATTGACATATCCAGAGTTTATGGCGCGAAATTTAAATCACTCGTTGATGAAGTCACCGGAACAACCCTTGTTAGTCTATCTTCATTTCCTTCACTCTCATTGAGCATTGAAATTTTCAGTGGGAAGAGACGAGAAGAGAAGACATTGGTAGAGTTCGAACTGGACGAAGACATGAGCACAATTCGCTAGGAACTGGTGATACGGTAAGACTCAACAATCCTATGAATCCTTTTTCTTTTGTTGAACGAACGTCACGGCAAGAGGTCCACCCCGCTTGTTGAGGAGTGCGTAATGAAAACCTGTTTTTCTTAAGAAATATTGCGTTGCGGGACAACGGCCTTTGCCAAGGGATGAGTGTGACGCCATAGCCACTTTCGTTTGTGCGAAACACAGGCGTATTCAAATGAGGGTGAATAGACCTTCCCACTGAGCTCTGACTTTGTCAGAAAGGCTAACGGCAAGTGCGGTCGTAGAGATCTTGACTAAGTTGACGATTATCATCGATTGCGCACAAGAAACAGCAACGATTCTCACAAAGGGACTGGTCTTCCCAGCGTTATTTCGTGGGAGTGTGAGAGCACTACTCGAGTGTATGAGCTAAACCATACATTACATTTACAGTTCCGATCGATTACTGCCTCAAAGAGGCTCGCGTGTCTGCTAGACACTGCAACTTAATCTAATAAAACGACTTCCTTGCTCAATGAGCCCTGTGTCCACGACACGGAAGTCGCCAAGTCTCGCTGGTTCTGAAAGCGAGCACGGACGGAGCCCAACTTCGTCTCCCGCACGCGGTGCGATGTCGGACAGTGCGTCCGCGGCACCG